TTCCCCTCACCCCAATCCTAACCTTAGGGTCACAGTTACTGACCTTAAGGTTAGGATTGGGGTGAGGGGAAGGTTAAATAGTCGAAAAATGTCCGTGTGACTGCGAGTGTCAAAACACTGACGCCAGCGGAGCCACGTGTCCCTGATCGTCATCTCCTGACGCGCTGGGGCATCCCGAATCGTCATATATTGAGGCTTGGTCACACGCGTCATATTTTGATGCTTTGGGTGTGAGAATGTGTTGGTCTCACACAGCGGCGCGACTCAAAAGTCGGTCAACAATCTATTGTTCTGGTCACAGCCGTCTGTTTTAATAAGAAGGAAACTGAAGATCGGAGCTTTTGAAGCATCGTCCTGTTTCTCTCACGTTGACGCAGTTTGGAGCTTTCTTTCGTTTGAACTCGTATTTTTTATAAGTTGTTGTTTTAATTGACGTATTTTATTTTGATCGAGTCCGAGGACATCAGGTTGGTCATGTATTCTACGCGTATGCACCAAACATCTGGAATCCTCTGCCTTTCGGCCTGAGGGTTGGGGTCAGCCACACTGAAGTTAAAAACAAGCCTATGGTTAGGTTGTCCTGTTGTTTTTATTTTTATTCTCTTTTATTGTTCAGTTGTTTATTTTTAGTCAGCATTTCTAGATGAGTTTGTAAAGTTTTAGCTGCTTTAATTACTTGTAGCTCAGTCTCTGTTTTATGTGTTTGTATTCGTTTTTTGTTGTTGTTTATTTTAAGTGTGTATACACTGTAGAGAAGATGTTCTTACATTTAATTAGAAACCATAGGATGTGAAATATCATAAAATATGAAATATCACCTTAATGGATCTTTGAGTAAATTTAACCGGAAGACCGGATCTTTTTATTGCAGGGATTGAGCAACACTTCGTATCAACTCCAAGAAAGAGAGAGTCAGGTTTAAAAAGTTAAAAGACTTATTTCTAAACAATTTAAACAAGAATAACTTTAAACACAATGTGTATGATGTAACTAAGGTGGAGTGAGACCAAGGATGGTGTGTGTGTGAAATATGTTCAGAACCAGCAAGCTTTGGTTTGAGATGACAACACACATTGAGACGCCATTTTTCGGTCTACGTACCCCAACGGAAGTCCCCGTTTAGATCCGGAATATCGGGGGTCCAGCTTTAGACCCTCTTGGAACCGACGCCTGTAGATATGCAGCGGTTGCCGACCCTTCCTGTCTTGAGTTACGCCCAGGTCACGACAGTTTATTGGCATCAGCGAGACCCTGAAGGGGTTGTGATGGTTCAGCTTTTATTCTGAAGGAGCCGTTGCAGCAGGTGGAACATGCAACAGATTTAATCCAGCTTGTCGTTACGTTCTTTCGGCTTTAAGAGGAAAGTTACGGATTGGCCACTCCGATAACTTCTCTAGAACGCTTGGAGCTGAAGTTAAGATGACGTGGGGCATAGTTTTATAATTTGGATGTTTTGATTTACTGTCAAATCAGGATTTGACAACAAATGGGGATTTACATCTGGAAGGTTCTGATTGGATCAGAAAAAGGAAACGTGTCATGTGACTTTAGCATTATGTGTGATCAGTCTAGTGTCAATATTTAAAAGTTATATTTTTTATTATATACTATCTTAGGATTATAATATCAAGTAATTAATATTCTCATTTCACAGATTGATTGAAATTGAGCTTCACATGATTATTTGGACTAACAAAGTTATTTGATAATTATTTAAAGAGAAAGAATTATGCCTTCTTTCTTCTTTCCTGTGCTGTCCGGAGAAGCAGCCGTATAGATAAGAGCACAGAGCATGGGTGGCCTTGGCCCATGTCCTGCAGATGAGGTTTGTGTCAGAAACTTGCGTTTCTGCTTGGGCAGAGCAACTAGAGCAGGGCCTTTAGGTCAGAAATGGACAATTCATCACGCTACAATGCTGGTGAGTGAGTGGTTATTTTATTACTGTAAAGCACATTGTGTTGCTATGCAGGAAATGTGCTCTAGTCCTTTCCTGCTCGTCGTGTTTGATGATAGTTGGAAAGTCTTGGTTTTTACTGCTTTATCTAAATGAATGAGCTACAAAATGTGTTTCAATCACATCTTTGTCATCAGCTCCTTAATGTGGGCTGACTGTCGGCGGGCAAAGATCTCATAAGCCAGTTTGTTTATAGCAGCCCGGAGGAATAGTTCCATTTTAAAACAAGTCACACACACCAGCAGAGGCTTAATGACATCTGGCCTCCAGCGGGGCCCAAAACATCCGGCAGCAGCTCAGCAGACGACCATGTTTTCCCCAGACAGACGACTAGTAGTCCTACAGGAACGCACAGAACCAATCAGGTCCTAATGTCCCCGAACGCATCTGACCAATCTGCAGGGACGATTGCTGGATCTGATTCATTTTCCCAACAGACCTTAACTTTACACGACGAAACACAAAACCTGGATTTATAAACTCATCTACTTTATTCACTCAGGAGGCTGAAAAACAACCGCCCTGAAGCCCTAACCCATCCATCCATCCATCCATCATCATCCATCCATTCATCCATCCATCATCATCCATCCATCCATCCATCATCATCCATCCATCCATTCATCCATCCATCATCATCCATTCATCCATCCATCCATCATCATCCATCCATCTATCCATCCATCCATCATCCATCCATCCATCCATCCATCATCATCCATCCATCATCCATCCATTCATCCATCCATCATCATCCATCCATCCATCCATCATCATCCATCCATCCATCATCATCCATCCATCCATTCATCCATCCATCATCATCCATTCATCCATCCATCATCATCCATCCATCTGTCATCCATCCATCCATCATCATCCATCCATCCATCCATTATCATCCATCCATCTATCCATCCATCCATCCATCATCATCATCCATCCATCCATCCATCCATCCATCATCATCCATCTATCCATCATCATCCATCCATCCATCATCATCCATCCATCCATCCATCTATCATCCATCCATCATCATCCATCCATCTGTCATCCATCCATCCATCTATCCATCCATTCATCATCATCCATCCATCCATCCATCCATCCATCCATCCATCATCATCCATCCATCCATCCATCCATCCATCTATCCATCCATTCATCATCCATCCATCCATCCATCATCATCCATCCATCCATCCATCCATCCATTCATCATCCATCCATCTATCCATCCATCCATTCATCATCCATCCATCCATCCATCCATCCATCTATCCATCCATTCATCATCCATCCATCCATCATCATCCATCCATCCATCCATCCATCCATTCATCATCCATCCATCTATCCATCATCATCCATCCATCCATCCATCTATCATCCATCCATCCATCATCATCCATCCATCTGTCATCCATCCATCCATCTATCCATCCATTCATCATCATCCATCCATCCATCCATCCATCCATCATCATCTATCCATCCATCCATCATCATCCATCCATCCATCCATCATCCATCCATCTATCCATCCATCCATTCATCATCCATCCATCCATTCATCCAATCATCCATCCATCCATCCATCCATCCAATCAACCATCCATCCATCATCCATCCAATCATCCATCCATCCATCCATCCATCCATCCATCCATCCATCCATCCATCCATCCATCCATCCATCCACCATCATATTGTTCACATCTGTTATTCTTCTGGTTCATCTGAAATCATTTAAACTGCAATGGAAGGTTCTGATTGATGCAGAGTTATCGGTTTTCAGTGAACTTGGTAAACGGTTAAGTGTGTTGCTCAAGGACAAAATGACTGTGACAGAGACTCGATCCCACAACCCTCCAGTTACGAGGCGGGCACCCCCCTCTGCCAACGTCGTCTCCAACTTCACGTTTAGTTTGAAGCCGATCGTGTTTCACCTTAATGCGCCAAAACATCAAAGCCAACGCTTCACAAAATCAACAAAAACATCTTTTACTTTCCTCTTCGTGGGAATCAGAAACACGAAGCCGCTGATCAGAACCGTGAGATGTTCTCTCAGGCGTTTTAGCGAGAGCGTCCCCCACACCCAAACCCATCTGATTTAAACGCTCTTTGGTTTCAGCTTCACGTGTAACACAAGAAGCTTAATTACACCGGTTGTGTCATTTTCCTGCTTTGGTGGCTAAATAGATATAGATCTGTTTTCTACCAATTAGTGCTTTATTGTGATTTTGTGCGTAAACCAGCTCAGAGTCTCGTCGGAGCAGCAGACGTAAACAGAGAGGAAAAAACGGGCTGTTGCATTCAACTCCTAGCGGCTTTAATCCCTCATAAGTTCTATGTTTCACATTATTAAAGGTTTTATTTAAAGCTTTTGGTTTAGCAGCAACAACCAGCAATGAATGGAAAACTAAATAACTTAGATGGTTTTAACACCCGAGTTTAAACATGTGACTCATTGATTCACATTTTGAAAACGAGATAACCTTTGACCCTTGCAGGAATCCACGTCAGGACCGTTTCCGGTCTGATCACTGCCGTGTTGATGGATAACCTCTGCTCGGGTTCTAATCACAGGGCGGCTCAGAGCGCTGCAGGCGAACCCACCGCGGCGCTGATTTGTCCTTTGCAGCCTTACCCTGCATGCCCGTGGGGCCGAAGCCTTGGCGGGTGAGGAAAATGGCGTGGTCGTGGTGCTCGGCGTGATCAGGGTCACCTTTCTGCTGCACAAAGGCCCAGCGGCACACGTTCTCCAGGCTGCGTGACGGGTTTCCTCTTTCAATAAGGCTGATGGACTGACACACAAGAGGAAAAAATAAAAATAAAACCCCAGCTCAACACGACTCTGATTTTCTCAAGCAGCAGCCAGAAATAACACATCATTATTCCCATTCTGTGGAGAGAGAACGAGCGCCACTGAGGGCTCAAGCTGGAGAGGAGCTAGGGTCGGCCGGAATCAGCGTGGAAGAAAAATGAATGATTTTGATGGATTTGATCTAAAGATGCGTTGGTCGTCCAAATTAAATAATCA